AGAGGAGAATCCTTCTGAGGGTATCTAATGATTGACAATATGTGTTCCCTGCCACAATTTTGAACTTCTTTTACACAACTTCAGATAACTATTCGCTTATCTAGGACAAAGAAGAGGGATCCATTGAGAAAGGTGGCCACTCTTATTACGGACCCCAGTAACTCTAAAATCTAGGTCAGGTTTCTCCCCACAACAACATGGTGTGTCAAATTATTCATGAGTAATTCAATTAGCCCTAAGCTGTGTAGCCCGATCCCATCATCTGTGTCTCCTCAATACCGATTCAGTGTATTGGTTATGAAACAGTATGACTTTCCACAAAGGAATTCACTCACTGATTTCTATAGAGATAATGGGAGGGGGGGGGAAGATAATGCTCTAAATGAAGAATTATGGTATCTGCTATTTGTTTTCATGAAGGGAGACTTCTACTTGGATTATTTTCATTGTCCAAACAAAAGTATTATTTGTGAAAAATCTAGTACAGCCTTCTTTTTCAAAAGATACCAAATGATATCATTATGCGTTACCTCCTTCCTCAAGCATAGTTTTAGGGGTGGCAATTGTTAAGTGTAGTCACCTTTTGCTTATAACATGTGATGTATATATACCCTATTTCCCTGAAAATAAGACAGGGTCTTATATTAATTTTTGCTCCAAAAAAGGCATTAGGACTTATTTTCAGGGGATGTTTTATTTTTTTCATGTACAACCATCTACGTTTATTCAAATACAGTCATGTCATCTTCTGGTTGCTTCACAGTGGGGGAGGGCAGGGTTTCACTTAACTAGGGCTTATTTTTGGAGTAGGACTTATATTACGAGCATCCTGAAAAAAATCATACTAGGGCTTATTTTAGGGGAAACAGGGTAATATACAAGGAAATAATGCAAGAAAGCAAATAGGTTGTAAGGCAGATCCTTTGAAAAGATGTTGGATGGCTCCCAGAATGCACCTGTCTTAATTGTATTTCCAGTTTCAGCTGAGGGCTGTTTTTCCAGACAAGATCTTCCTTTCTACTCCCTTTTAATCATGCTGATGACGAATAACTTTAAAATACACAATCAGAGTCCTGGTCCATTAGAGAATCTTCTCCTGACCATTTACTCTTACCACTCAATTATTAGTATAATAGAAGAATAGGAAGCTGCAACTACTTATCTCAAAAAGACTTTAAATGAGCTCTACAACATGCTGTTTCTGTTTTGTTCCCACTAAAATCAACAGAACCTTAAAAAGAAATAATTTTATATATGAATTTCTATGTGACCTAAGTGCAATTAAGATCTCACTCTGGGTTGCTCACGTGCCCTAGGATTTCTCAGAATTACATACATCAGCAATCAGACTTGCAAAATTAACCGTATGTTTGTTTCCCAATGACCAAACCAAAACTTAGCACACTAAATGCAAGATGGACTTTCCTATGCTGTACTGATATTAGTAACACATTTATGGACATAGGTTATTCCCAACTAGACAAGATGCAGTTTTGCAAAAGGAATCCACAGATGAATGCTGTCAGTCCCTAGCAAACATATATCCTGTAAGGCAGATCCTTTGCTATCATGTTGGAGAACTCTCAGATTGCACCTGCCTAGCCTACATTTGCACTTTCAACTAACTGATGGCTTTTTTTTCAGACAACTCTTGTTAAAGTTCAAAAAATGGATTTTATGAGGTGCAGAATTGTTGCCCTAAAAATGAAAAATGCCTTTTAAAAGATGTCTCAGAGAGGTGCATTAAAAGTGAAAGCACAATTAGAAGATAGCTTGTATTATAAAACAAAAACAGAGCAAATGTTTTTGTACAAATAGAACCAATAAGATAATGACAGAAGTAGTTCATTCAGTTTTGTGAGTTTTCACAGTGAAAAAAGTAAAGAATTAAATGCTTAGATTATGTGAACAGAGACAACTAAAGGGAAAAGAAAATGAAAATGCAGTTTGAATTGCCGTTCGAATTATGTTTGCCTACAATGTAAATTAACAAATAAATACCACAAAATAGATGTGGAAACCTGTATTAAACAAATGAGAATAACAATATGTAGTAAAATAGTACTGTTTGCAAACTAGTGTAAAAGGAGAAAAAGATGAATATTATATTAAGCAATTGGTTTCATGATAAACACATAGAGTAGAAAAACAAAGATGCCATTTGGTTTATAAGGCTTTATAAATAAAGTATAATATTTTGACTATAAATGACTATATATAATGACTATATATAATATCTTGGCTATACATGATTAATAGTAATTGAGTTAATTACTATTAATTGAGTTAATTACTAGTAACTGAGTTAATTACTATTAATCATGATTAATGGTAACTGAGTTTTGAAAAGAGTATGAAATTATATATACTCTGTTGCACTGATGAAAATACATGCAACTATACAGTATTGCACTGTCCTCAATGTATTGTATTGTTATTGTATTGTCAGTGTCTTAGTGTATCTAGCCAAGGGAGGGGTAATTTTACTCTGAACTTGAAGGCCAGGCACTGGGCTCTCAAGGAACAAGTCAGGCCAGAAGCTTGCCAAGCCAAACTTTTGAGATGCAGGAAACTGGGAGGAGAGACAATTGAGATCTCTTGACCTTAAACATGTAGGCTTCTTATTGGTTGAAAAGTTTAAATGGTGATGAAGTTTCTTTTGATGAATGACATTTCACAAGAGCACAGAGCTCTTTCACAGTTATATAAAGTGGAGATGCATTCTGTCTGAAGCAAACAGAAGATACAGACAGACTGACTGAGAGCAGCCAGGAGATAACATGGACACAACATAACTATTAACTGGTGAAAGGCTTAGTGAGAAAATCTTTCTTCTGTGTGTCAACAACATGCTTAGAGCTAAGTAATCATAGAAATCATAGAAAAGTGAAGTTGGAAGGGGCCTACAAGGCCATCAAGTCCAATTCCCTGCTCAACACAGGAATACAATCAAAGCATATCTGCCAGGTGATTATCCAAGTTTTTCTTGAATGCCTCCAGTGTTGGAGCTCTCACCAACTCCCGAGGTAACTGGTTCCACTCTCGTACTGCTCTAACAGTTAGGAGGTTTTTCCTGATCTTCAACCAAAATCTGGCTTCCTTTAACATGAGCCTATTGTTACGTGTCCTGCACTCAGGGATGATAGAGAACAGATCTTGTCCCTCCTTTCACATATTTGAAAAGTGCTTTTTAAGTTTTTTAATTTCTAATGTCTTTCACTGAATGTTATAAGACTTTTGCTTTGTATAATTTCATTCCTAAGAACTCTGGTGCTGTAGAGATGTATTCTCTGACTTTATAGACTATGAGTTCCTGTGTTTTAATGCTTTTGTATTTTCGATTCAAATATGACTGAAGTTCATGCTTGTCATTAAGATGTATTTTCTGACTTAAGTATTTGTTCAAAGTGTAAGTTCAGTTGTTGTGATTTTTAAAGTATTTTAAGGCTACAATCCTTGCATAACTGTATGACTTTTGGATATAAGCATATGCGCCTACGGTGGGTTTTTTTTTCTTCTCAACTAAAGACTGTCTTTGATAATTTTTTGGATTTTTTTGCTACTTTTGCTACTTTTAAGCATGAAACCTAGAAATGGTGTAAACAAATGGAAGTTATACAGAATTAACAATTCCTGAAATCAGCTGAAATTATTTGCCTGGGAGGTCTATAAATCTTTGTGGGACTCCTGGAGGAGTTGGTTGTCCCAATCAGGATCTGACACACTTCCCTCCATTTTCATCATCATGATTGTTCATATCTTTCAAAGACACTATCAGAATTCTGCTCTCTAATAAGATAATCTCCTCCTATAATCAACCATCCTTTTAAAGTGTTATGAAGAAACTGTGAAATTAGGGAACATGTAATGTGAAATCGAGTGCCTGGGAAGCTAGCTGAGAAGTCCAAGATTAGCATCCACAAAGAACAAACGGGAAAGTGACACCTTCAATTGATTTCTAGCACCTCCTCCTCTTGGCATAAAAACCCAGTCCTCTTCCTTCCCTGGAGTGCTGCAAATTACAGTTGTGGGAAAAGAAGATGGGGAGAAAGTGCCTTTGTTTTTAGTAAACATGAAAGGGGATTAAAATATTGACTTTGACAGGTCTGGGATAGATCATTTAATGCATAAAAGGAATTTGGAAAACTCGCTAGTCTGCTTAGCCTGGCCTCTAAGGGAAAGGGGCTATGCTCACAGCTCAGCCCAACTGCTGGACTGTCACAACACCAGGAAAAATACATTCTGTGCATGCATAAGGACTACATTGACCTACACCAAGGTGTGAATATCAGGTAGATAAGTTTAGCAGTTGTTACTTTCTTATGTGAACTTTGGAACTGCCTTAGACTACCTTTGTATTTTGCTCCATGTAATTTTGAAACCTTCTTGTAACTTTGTGGAACTTTTTATCTTTTTAGCCCTTCTTCTTCTTCTTTTGCTTCTTTTAATAAAGCATAAAAATCTCTTCAAGCAACTGTCTGGATTTTTGGCTTAGAGCACTGAATCCCAAACCTGGATCCTCAGATGTTCTTAGTCTACAACTCCCAGAAATTCTGGCCCGCATAGTTAGTAGAAAAAGCTTCTGGGAGTTTCAGTCCAAAAACCTCTGAGGACCTAAATTTGGGGACTACGGCTTACAGAATTTGTGGGATTAAAACAGGGTTTGCCTTGGCCAGCTACTGGAAAGTTTTTGTGTTTGTGTGGGGGTGGTGACAGCCTACCTTGCAAAGTAAGCACATTGTTTCTAAGTGCCTAGTTTTGTGGATTTCTTTGGACTCCCTGGACACACTGTCAGAGGTGAGTGGACACTTTTGGGGAGTGATCCAGTTCCAATCAGGTTCCATAGCCTTCACCACAACTGACTCTCCCTGGGTTTACTCATCCCAGGATTAGCAGCATAGTGTGGCTGAGTGGCTAAAGAGAGGGAGTCTAGACAGGGTAACTATTGTATCAATAAAAGAAATGCTACAAACTGTCTTAATATCTTATGGGGAACTTACCATCCAATTTTTCTCCATATGTGTACATTCCACTTGTAAAATGTGGCAGGGAAAACACAAGTGATCCTGCTGCTATCAGGAAAGATGCAAATGCAAGCCATCTTGGTTTGTGACCTCTTTCACCATAGAATGATATAAAAAGGCATAACAGACAAAATGAAATGTCATAGCCAGCGGAAATTACACCAGTGAGGGAACTGTTCAAATCATAACGCTTCTCAATGGAAGAAATGCTGACATTGATTAATCCATTTACCACAATGCCTAGAAGAAAAGAGATATAAAAATTAGACAGTTAAATATATAGGTCTTCCTGGTCTTCTATTTTTTAAAAGTTAAAAAATAACTTCTCCAAAGTAGATCTAATTTTAAATGTAGTTCCAATATTTGCCAGAGTCCTTATTTATTGTGAAATGGTGCACAAGGGGCGAAGCAAAATATGTATACTAAAATAGTTTTATATATGAATATACAAATAAGCTGTTTCCCCGAAAATAAGACCTAACCTGAAAATAATCCCTAGTATGATTTTTCAGGATGCTTGTAATATAAACCCTACCCTAAAAATAAGCCCTAATTAAGTGAAACCCCGCCCTCCACCATTGTGCAGCAACTAGAAGATGACATGACTACATTTGAATAAATGTAAACTGTTGTACATGAAAAAAATAAAACATCCCCTGAAAATAAGCCCTAATGCATTTTGGAGCTAAAATTAATATAAGATCCTGTCTTATTTTCGGGGAAACACAGTAATATTTTTAACTCATTCCACTAGTGAATCCTTCGCAGATTTTATGGCTTGCTTTTTTCTAGTTACAGATTAAAAATAATGTTAAACCATTACCAAAATACTAAACTTACTTTCTTAATATACAATATTTTAAAGATCTACTTAATACTTGAAATGATGTTACACACTCCATTGTCCTCTTAGCAAGTGAAAGCATGAATTCCAAAACCAAAGCCTGAAAAAGTTATTTATTTTGGACTACAATTCCAGCCTGGCTAGAATTGATGTTGCACACTCCATTGCCCTCTTAGCAAGTGAAAGCATGAATTCCAACTAGAGTGGGGATATTCGTATATGTATACGAATACAAATACTGTATCCCACACAGCTGGACCTAATGAGGGTCTGGCCCCCAGGATTGGACCATCAACTCACGCATCCTGCTGAGGCACCACTCCTTCCAATGGTACCTGGAGGTCCACTCTCTTCCCACTTGGCTGGCCACTCCAAACAGGGAACAGGAGGATGAGTCTCCCCGCATTCTGGATGTCCAATCTCTTCCCACTTGGCTGGCCACTCCAAGCAGGGAACAGGAGGATGAGTCTCCCCGCATGGCTGCTGAGTGACCAGTCGAGCGGGAAGAGAGCGGAGCTCCAGGCACTGCTGGAAGGATGAGTGGGACCAGCGCTGCAGCAGGACATGTGAGTGGATGGTCCGGTTCTGGAGGCCGGACCCTCATCAGGTCCAGCTGCATGGGGAGACGAATACTCCCATTTCTAATTCCAGCATGTCCAAGAAAGGCAGCACATTCCTTTTCCTAGTGGCCAGAGGAAGGGAAAACAACTATTTTGAACAGGGTCCACTCCCTTTCCACTTGCTCTGTTTTCAGCAACTATTTTCACTTCAGCTAATAAACAGATGGACTTTTCTTACCCAGTTCCTTGTACCTCTTAGGCTTTGGACTGCCGCATGACAGTATTCACTCAGTGTTATACAAACTAACTTATTGTGGGGATTCAGTTAACTTCCCTTTTTGTGCAGGATTTATTTATTTATTTCCCCACCTGTCTAGCTGAAGGCCACTCTGGGCAGTTTACAAGACATGAATAAAACAATAATCATAACAACATAAAACATAACAAAAATTTAAAAATAAAAATAAAGCAGATGAAACAATGTAAAATACGTTATAAAAATATATAAACATTTAAAATGGTGGAAGCAGATCTCATCCAAGGCTACAACGTTTCAGCAGTCTTCAGTGACGGAATATGTTGGAAGACCTGCCAAAACAACCACATTGTCTTTGTCTTCTTAAAAATTGCCGGCGTAAGGGCCAGGCAAATATTGGGAAGTAGTTCATTCCACAGCCAAGGAGCAACCACCAAGAAGGCTTGGTTCCTTGTTTTCTCCTCTTGGGTCTCTCTTGGGGTCAGCATCATCAGTTGTCCTGCCTGGGATGTACGGCTAGGAGAGGCAGACCCAGTTGGAAGTCAGCGTTCTGCCAAATACCGAAGTCCTGAACCATTATTACTATAATATGTTAATTGCTGAAAACATCAATTTGTTTTTAGCTAACTTTGGTCCATTAGGGATTAGAACTGGATTACTCCCTTTTATAGGCCAAGCAATAGCTGCTATAGGAAATCAAGAAAGCTAAGTTTGTGAGGTCATTTTTTGCCTTCAAGTTCACATCCATGGTAGCAGAACTCTCTCTGTACTATCATACCACTAATACCTGGATATGCTCAGGTTTTGACCTGTAACACCACCATGAACACAACTGATTTCAGAAACTAAGAACTTTTGTAGTTGAATGGAAGTCCAGGAAGGACTAGGAAAGAATCTTCTCTGAAACCTTGGTGAGCTGCTGCCACTCAGAGTTGACAATACTGAACTGATTTCACGTAAAATACTGTAGTAGGTGTTCACAGTTGTAATAGTCAATATACTACATAGTTGCCCAATTCTAAATTACAAGTTTTGCAAATGTAGATAGATTAGAATTGTGATTGCTTTAAAGGCTAATAGATAGAACTTGTTTTTCAAGCCTTTTTCCCACTGATCTCTCATGTGCTGTATGTAAATCTGTTGTACATTATTCCCATGCAGACAAAACCTGATCATGGTTTGGATCCAGGCAGGCAGTGCAAACCAAATTCAAAGACACTGTAAGCGGCTCAGTAGAAGCAAAACTTCTTCTGCAGGCACAATTCTCTTATGCTGGCTGATCTCAAACCTGCAGAACAACTAGATCTTTTGGCACAGTTGCTATGCTGGCAAAAATTAGCCAGCAGAAAGAGAGAGAGAGAAAAGAGAAGTAGATTTGTTTCAGATCCAAACTACTTGCAGCCCAAACTCACAGTCCTTAGGCCAGAACAAGGTTAGGACAAGATCAAAGTAATTCTGAGTAACTGCCAAGATCCTTAGGCTGGGAGGGAGTTGGATTCAGCACAGTCTTAGGTAGCTCTCTGCCATCCTGGATAATTATAGTTGCACTCTTAGAAATGCTCAGAATTGACTCACTGCAATTCAGAGGTGTTCCATTGATTTTAAAAGCCAGTAGCCTTCTGACCATGGTCAGAGCATAATGTTCTATCCACAGAGCTCCTGCGATCTCCAGCTTGTTGCTTTGTAAACTGGCAGTCCCACCCCCCTTCTTTTCAACCTGACTCATATCTACAAATAGAAGCATTAGATATCTCCTTTTACATGCCCTGGGAAAGCCTCACACAACAGAATGTTGTACACCTGGAACAGAGGCAAGAGGATGGCCAAAGGGTCTACTCTAAGTACGGGAAAGTCTAGATCCCAATTTCATGTGTTTTTCACCTCCCTAAGATTTGATAGTGAGGAGATAAAAGTATTACTTTCATAAAAGAAGTATGTACCCATAGGATCTAACGAAGTAACAGTGAGAGTGTTTATTGATTGCAAGATTCTGTACCCATAGGATCTAACGAAGTAACATGTACAGTGAGAGTGTTTATTGATTGCAAGATTAGGCTCAATGTGCATAAGGTCTACACACAGAGTGCCCACTACGCACATGTTTCTCCAAAACACAGATATTAGGAAAATGTGAGGCAAACATCTCTTGGATATTTTCCTTGCTTCCATTTTCTTCTGCCTTACTAAGAAGGGTTCAGTAAGGCTCATTGTGCCTAGTCAACCTGATTTACCACAAGATGTATAGAGAGTGATGTGTGGGTTGGTATCACTGGGCAGATGCTATGACTGCAATTCCTCAAGAAGACACTAACACTGAGAGGCAATTCTCAACAATGCTTGCAGAAGTCCCCTCTGGATAGTACAGACTGCTTGAATGGGTAATCCCCTTCTTCCACATTGTTTTATTTTCTGTGGCACCAGTGGTATCTACCAGTGGAAGCTTTCACTCAAAACAGGTGATCAAGTGGCAGTTCAAATGTACAGCCCTCTGCTTCATTCACCTGACAACTTCTTCTTCATGTTGGTGGATAAACAAATCCTACAGCCACCACTTGAATTTGCTTGTGCCATAGTTACCTCAAGTGGTCTAGTGTAAGCAGCTTTAAGGACCAGTGGCTATTTGCTCACTGTCCCTCTCTCCCTGGCACAATTGTTGGGTCAGCTGAGCTAGGGGGAAATAAGGTGGAAGAGGTCCAAGAATAGACAAATGAAGCTCAGTGGCAGGATCTACATTCAATGGCAGAACGTAAAGCCTATAAAAGGTCTCAGGTTCGATCCCAGGTCTTGCCAAGTGTGGCTGGGAAAAGGACCAGTGGCTATTTGCTCACTCTCCCTCTCTCCCTGGCACAATTGTTGGGTCAGCTGAGCTAGGGGGAAATAAGGTGGAAGAGGTCCAAGAATAGACAAATGAAGCTCAGTGGCAGGATCTACATTCAATGGCAGAACGTAAAGCCTATAAAAGGTCTCAGGTTCGATCCCAGGTCTTGCCAAGTGTGGCTGGGAAATTCTTTAGTATGAAATCCTGGGATGCTGTCAAGGCTGACCCATGCTATCTTGTTGCCTCAGGCAAAGGAGAGAATGGCTACCTCATCTCACCTACTCACTCCAAACATGCCAACTTGAGAAGCTGCCTGGAATGGAAACATAATCTTAACTTTGACACTGGCGATGGGGTACAGTCAATAGAGGCTTGTAGGGGCACCTGACCCCCAAATTTCAAGAGAGCCCAACCAGCGTCTTCTGATCAGTGCAGCTGGTTCCTGTAGTGACACATACCAGCCTTGAGAATCTACAATTCCTACAGATGGGAGCAGATCCCACCTTGTTGCCTTAGGTTGCTAAGACAACGTTGCCCAGGATCCCCAAAGCCCCAGGGCCTTGGAGGGAAGGAACAAGAGGGATATGAAGCATGAGAGATCAGGTCAGCATCCAAGGAGTCCTTAAACCTTGGAGATGGGAGGGGCACAGTGGGAAGGGGGGGAAATTCCTCTGTTTTCAGAACCTGTCAGTGACCCATTCATTACCTCTGCCCTCTCCAGGGGTACACACGTGCCATCATTTGATCAACTGCATTGGCATCGTAAAGAGTGCCAGCTAAAGAGGGGTGAAGCTCTGTCAGGTTATCTTGATTCCCGCCGCCGCCGCCGCCCCCCCCGCCCGCCTTTCTCACGCGGGCCTCTCTCCCTCTCTGTCCCTTCTCCTCTCCGGCTCACCTTGAAAGATGGAAAGGAGGCTGTAAAAGACCAAGTAGCCTTTGGCGTTGTTGCAGATCTGCAGGGCCGGCGGCGCGAACCCGCCAAACCCGCAGAGTTCCTCGCCTGGGTCAAAACTGGGCGACGAGGTCATGAAGCCGCCGCCGCCGCCGCCGCCGGCCGAGGAGGAGGCCGCCACCGCCGGGCTTTGCTGGGGCTTCACGGCCCGATCCGGGCTGGGGGGCTCGAAAGCCAGGTTGTCCACGCCCTGTTTCTTCATGACAGGGCCCTGGCTCCGTCGGGTTCAACCGCCGATCCCGCCGCCGGGCCCGGAGCATCGGCTGCCTTCACCGGAGCCTCGCCGCTGCCGCCGCCGCCGCCTCTGCCGCCGCTGGTGGGCAACGCGGACACCTGCCGCCTCCCGAAGGCGCCTGGCGAGGCTGGAGCGCAAAGAGAAGGGCAGAGGTTGAAACACCGGGTTTGCCAAGACCTCCCCGGAGGGAGAAACAGGGTTTAATGGAGAGGGAGGGAGAGGGAGCGAGACGGTCAAGATAAAAAGAGGCGGGAAGCTCTGAGGAGATGTCAAGCGTCCCTGAGTTCTCCCTTACTGGAAGGACCAGTTTTGCTCACATGGGGAAAGAAGACGGTTATTGTTCTGCTTATAAGCCCTGTTGGAGGCAGGGATCAGCTGCTGGGACAAGAAGAGCGAAAAGGGCTGGCTTTTTTTTTTCCACCTCAGGATCCCATTCCGGACGCCTCTTCCCCTCAAAGAAATCGGAGCAAAGAGAAAGCGAAAGGAGATCCAGCAGGTGTCACCAACGCCCGCGCCAAGATGGATAGTGAGCGAGGAGCCGGATCGCTGCTTCCCAGAGAGAGAGAGAGAGAGAGAGAGAGAGGAAGAGAGAGAGAACACAGCCTTGTCTCATGCCATGGATACACTCCTCAATTTAGAGTTTCAAAGTTTTGGGGTTCCTGACCCACTCCTCAAACATTTAAGGACTGTAGAACCTAATCTTGGGAGAAGTGTGCCCATATATACCCATAAATATATAGGGATAAGTAAAGATACTGTACAAATATATTTGTAAACCCAGTGACTCCACAGAACTGTAAACAAACTTTTTTTTTCTGGCAAATGAAACCGGTAAAATATGTTAACAATTATTACAGCAGGACATGGAGCCCTTTCAGAATCATGCGGAACATTACGGACAAACTGGTTTGTGACAGATGAGAATGTCGGTCACTAGCGCCATGGCAACTGGGTTGGTTTGGACCCAAAGGAAGGGATAACATCACTGTGTAAAGTTGTCTTTCTCTTACATGTGACCTTGAATCATTAATGCTGAGATTGTTGGTTAGAGTAAGGGTCTTACACCAGGAATGCGCCCCTCCAGATGTTGTTGCCTCAACTCCCATCATCTATCACCATTGGCTATGGTGAGTTCAGGGTGAGTGGTATTGCAGTCCAATGTCACCTGGAGGACCACAGACTTCCCAGACTTGTCTCATGCCATAGATAAACCAAAGATAAAGACTATAAGCACCTCCTCCCTCCAAGCAGTTTTGCCAGGTCCTTTAAATAGTTTCCAAGGGGTGAGCAACATATGATGTTGGGAGCCCTGCTGCTGCAGTGGGACGTGGTGGCACTGTGGGCTAAACCGCAGAAGCCTGTGCTGCAGGGTCAGAAGACCAAGCAGTCATAAGATCGAATCCACGACACGGAGTGAGCGCCCGTCGCTTGTCTGCAGTCCAGACTTCCCAGACTTGTCTCATGCCATAGATAAACCAAAGATAAAGACTACTTTAAGCACCTCCTCCCTCCAAACAGTTTTGCCAGGTCCTTTAAATAGTTTCCAAGGGGTGAGCAACATATGATGTTGGGAGGCCTGCTGCTGACCCTTATGAGGACCTATGTTGGGTGTATTTTCAGATCTGGGAGCCACATACAAGAATCAGTGCATCCACTGACTACATGGGAGAACTATCACCTGCAACTCCTCCTTGCCCTAAGATTTAGTAGAATGATGGCCTGGAAACGGGGATGAGCAACGCCCCCTACAGTTGAACACGACTGGACAAAAATTGTCAAGGGGAACCTTTACCTTTTACTGACTACATGGGGGAACTTTCACCTGCAATTCCTCCTTGCCCTAAGATTTAGTAGAATGACAGATGTCCTGCCCTTCACATGGGACTAAGGGATCTGGAATCAGACTAAGCTTCTCCTCCTGCAGACTGTCCTTCTGATAGGGTTTCTTTTCCCTTCCTGAGGCTCAGTCTCCCTGTTCTTTGGTTGGGGCCTGCTGTTGGCCTCCTCTACTGTCCATCCAGGAAGCATTACTTCCTTCAGGGTTGGCCTCACACACCACTTCTATGTCTTTCCCTTTGGTAACTGCCACACAATATTGCTCTCCAGTGTCACCTTGCATGTTTCCTAGCACATCTGGAGTTCTTCCTGTGACAAGAATGGCTTTCATCTGCCACATAATCTTGCCTTAAAGACATCCCTGTTCCCTCTTCTTCTCTAAGCCTGTCTGGCTAACCTTATCTATATCCAAGCATAAAGAAAGATTTTCCCTGATTGCGATAGGTTTAGATTTCCTTATGGCTTAGCTGCAAGGCCTAGTTAATAAGCACCATCTTCTTCCCGTTCTAACCCCACAAGGATATGTTTCAGAGCCAGCTAACCATTGACTAAAGAAGCAGAAATAACCCATTTAGCCTGTTCTCTACTAGACGGAATGCACAGTGATGCTTTAAAGACTCACATAACCCTCAAATTAGCATTTATTCTGTTTCACATGCAACAATGTGACATACTGTATTTACTTCACCATCGCTGTGCACAGGGCCCACTATGTCACAACTACCTGCAAAGATTCAGTTCCATCTTCTGCTCTAAGATAACATGTCTCTTTTTTAAAAAATGAAACCTTTGAATGAAATACCAATAATTCTGGTGAGCAATGTGGCAGGATCAGGGCAGGGGCTAATGGTATGTGCAGAAATTGAGGACCAAGGTCCTTGCTTTGTGGATTCATGGTTCAAATTTTCCCAGCTTCTTCCCAGGTAGCCCTGCAGGTTTGCATGTTATTAAACTATTGCTTTTTAAATATTTTTTAAATTTTGTAATGCCACCCAGAGTAGACCATTGGTATAGATGGGCGGGGTATAAATCTGACAGAGCCTTGTGGCACAATGGTTAAACCGCTGTACTGCAGCCAAAACTGTGCCCACGACCTGGGGTTCAATCCCAGGTAGCCGGCTCAAGGTTGACTCAGCCTTCTATCCTTCTGAGGTCGGTGAAATGAGTACCCAGCTTGCTGGGGAGGCAATGTGTAGCCTGCATAATTAACTTGCAAACCGCCCAGAGAGTGCTTGAAGCACTATGGGGCGGTATATAAGCAGCACGTTTTGCTTTTTGCTTTTGATAAATAAATAAACTATATTGCTTTTTCAGGATTGAAAAACATAACAGTATAACAGGTTCTGCTATGCCAGACTTTTCCCTAACAACTACTGTGCAAAGGCTTCAGTGAGAGCTACTATTTATATGTTGCTCCCCTGTACTGATTCTGGAGTCCCAATGAAATCTCTGTCATGTCATGTGGGTGTTTTTTCAAAGGATTATTGTCAAAAATGAAAATGTTCAAATTTTGTTTCCTTAGCCTCTGCATATGATAAAAAAAAACACCCAGCCACTGAGCTTGGCTTAGTTCCCCCCTCAGCTCAGCTTGGTGCCTCCCCCCCCCACAACAGTTCAGCTTGGTGCCTCAGCACAGCACCCTACCCTGCCACTGAGCACTAGATACCTACACAGATTTCTACTAAATCAAAGTCAGTGGAATTACTGGCAGAATAAATGATTGCTCAACACTGAAGAATTATAGTTGTGAGTTTTGTTTCTTTACTCCTCCTGTTAAGATCTCATTCACTCTAAAATGTTGGCAAAGCCTGGATCTTAAACTGTGTTTATGTAATCTTTCAGATTTGTTTTAATTCTTTTGCGGTTGGAAAATTGGTATTTGTACTTAGGATACAATATCCTTGCGTCACTATAGAAGTGAAACAGCTTTGTGAGTGAATTCTGTGGGTATGTAGCTGTCTCTGAAAAAAAGCAATAATTATACCACCTCCAAGACTCTTTTCCTTTGAAGAATGTCTAGTAAGGTATCTTGTGAGCTGCTGTCCCTTCTGTTCTTTCAAAGGTCACATCTTATTCCTCCAACATGCAGTACCAAAAATCAAAAGCAGAATTCTTCCAGCAGCTGCTTTTATAATAGAAGTGTATTCTGAAAACCACTTAATTATAGAAGGCCCTCTTGAACCAGTTTCTGGAACTTGCAGTCAGTTTGGTGGTCACCACATATTCTATACAAACATACAGAATACATCCCTTTATGCTTACTTATTTTATTTTATTTTATTTTATTTTATTTTATTTGCCACCTTTCTCCCCATAGAGGACCCAGGTTACCTAGCAACAGCTAAAACTTTAAAAGAAACAACAGTTCTAAAAAAACCCACCACAAATATCATATTAAAAACAATTAAACATATATTAACATTTAAAATCGAGATTAAAAACAAATTTAAAACATTTAAAAATCTATAAGTTAATAAACAGGCTTTCCTGAGACACTTACTGCTTAAAAGCCTATCTGAAGAGGAAGGTCTTTGCTCGACAACAGGAGGATAACCTGATTTCTGGGGTAGTGCATTCCAAGGCCATGGAGCAAACACTGACAAGGTCCTCTCTCATGCCTTTGCCAAACAAGATTGGAAAGGAGGTGGAACCAAGTTAAGAGCCTCGCCAGAAGATCTTAAAAGCTGAGAAGGCTTAGATGAGATGAGATGATGCTTGTTTGGCTGTACATAGTATTTCACCACCTAGTGGTTCTCTGTACTAACAACAGAAGAGTTAAAACTGTTTTGGAACTTCAGTACTATTGATCAAGTCAGTTCTAACTTGTGGAAACCCTTTTCAGAGTTTTTCAAGTAAAGAATACTCAGACACTCAATACCATTCCCATCTTCTGGGGGCACCTTGGGACTATGCAGCTTACCAGAGGCCACACAGGCTGGTTCTGCTTGCAAGAGCCACAGTAGGGAATCAAACTCTGACAGTCAGATACCTACAGCACTGAGCTATCTAGCCAGTTTCAGTACTAATACCAAGATTATTTTACAGGTGGCTGTTTTTGTTCTTCTGTTTTTTTCCAGAAACTGAAGATTTCCTTCAAAGTACCAATGGCTTCCTCTTGACATAAGGGATCCCAAAGGAGCCTTGGAACTTTCAGGGGAGAATAAAATATATTTTTTTTCTGAGAAACTGCAGTTGATGACATCATCAGCCTTATGCAGCATAGGTTATGTTACTACAGTGGTTCTTAACCTTTGTTACTCGGATGCTTTTGAACTGCAGCTCCCAGAAACCCCAGTCAGGACAGCTGGTGGTGAAGGCTTCTGGGAGTTGCACTCCAAAACCCCTGAGTAACCCAAGGTTAAGAACCAGTGTGTTACTAGATTTCAACTACTCTGTTCTAAAATGCATTCTTTATGCTGTAGAGTTCACCGGCCTGAAACTGTACCAAATTTCATCATGCTTTTAAGCCTCCTCCCCTCCATAACTGGCATTAGTAAAGACTTTCTTCTTGGTTTTTTCCTGACACCATAGAAAAGTTGGGAATGAGAATAGAGAATGTCTGAGGAATTGGATTATAATCAACAAAACTCAAATAGAAACAAACTAGTCTTCAAGCTGCCACAAGACTTGTTAATCTGTTGCCACCAAAATAACACAAAGAGTCTTGTGCCACCTTAAAGACTAACACATTTTAATTGCATTAGCTCTTGTTGATCTGAACACCACTTCATTGGATCATCAAGGTTCCACAATACTGTATGTGAAAATTGCTTTTGGTGAGGTTGAAAATGTAGGATTGCTACCTGTCCTTTTCTTACACTGGCAGTACAGAACCGAACAACTACAGCTGGTGTTTTGAGTCTTGGATGTAAGTGGTAGAAACACACCCAGACCGAGATGAATTTTTCCCTACATAAAGCA